AGTCAAAAGATTGGTGTCTGGTTGTTTAGTTTTCCAAGATAAGCCATCACACAAGGCCACAGCGTGTGTGTGTGTGTGTGTGTGTGTGTGTGTGTGTGTGTGTGTGTGTGTGTGTGTGTGTGTGTGTGTGTGTGTGTGTGTGTGCGCGTGTGTGCGCGTGTGTGCGTGTGTGTATGTACAGACAGACAGGTTCAGGGACTGCAGCAGAGACGCCAGAGCCAGACAAGGTCCATCACAGCAACAACACACCTCTGTTTTCAAAGATAACTACACAATCTTTAAATACACACATTTTCCTGTTAGTTTGGACTGAGCCTGACTTCAGGTTGGACTGAGCCTGACTTCAGGTTGGACTGAGCCTGACTTCGGGTTGGACTGAGCCTGACTTCGGGTTGGACTGAGCCTGACTTCGGGTTGGACTGAGCCTGACTTCAGTTCATTTCTGAGGTTGTGTTGACGTTGGTGAAAGTGCAAACATCAGAGAGTAGGTCTTTTGCTGTTTTCTAAAAGTAACTAAAAGTAAATGTGAACATTTATATTTGTATCAAGACCTTAAAGACAGACACAGTGAAGCACACAGTAAAAAGTGATAACACATAAGTAAAAAATTGCTCACATTTGGCAAAATGTAGCATATTTTGACTGAAAGGCTTGTCCCATTGGCAAATAATTTAAGTTATAAGACTATACTCTAAGTATAGCCCTGGGACTGAGATGAGAACAGAATACTCTCCCATGTTGGCCCCATGTTCCCTCCTGATCAGCAGGGGGCGCTACACAAGACTGACGCCATCAGGAGACACAGAACCTGCTGTCCCTAAAAACATCTACAAGAGATGGTTTGTCCCGTCTGCAGTCACTGCTCTAATCAATCAGTAACAGTGCAAACTATGAACTGCTGTGTCTTTGACAACTGCATGAGTGTGTTTTAATGATTTATTTTGGTGTGGACTTTTTGATGACTTTTCCTGGTTTTATTTTGATGCATTTGTTCTTTTCAGTGTTGCTTGTGTCTGTTCTGCTGATTACCTGTCTCGCCCTGATGTGTTTCTGTCCCGGTTTTGTTCTGGTTTGAGTTTTAAGTTCTGCATCCTGGATTTTGTTTTTGTTTATTAAATCTTATAGTTTGGCTGTGCTGCATTTACTGTAGGGTGAAAATGTGCCGTGTTGAAAGGAAAATCTCTGCCCAATTTGAACAGACAATGAAGCTCTATTCTATTCTATGCTAACCACTCAGCCACTCGAATGTCTATCATTGATTCCATTTTCATGAGAAATAGTACATTTTACGATCTGCAAACCGTTTGGTGGTCTTCAATCCACTGGACACTGTTTCTCTGCACTCACAGTCCGTGTCCTGGATCCTGGTCTGGACTTGGACTCAGCCTCCTCTGTGTGGTCTTCTTCCAGACATTACAACTCAATTTGGCCCAAAAGGTCCTGGTCTAAATCCTGGTCCAGATCTGATTGCGCTTGGCCTTTAACATGCTCCGGTGTTCCCTGTGGGCCCTGGCACAGGTACACGTCCCTGAGCTGCAGCTTTTTACTTCATTCAGATGCAACACGAGGCAGAGACAGAGTGAGGCAGAAAAAACAAACGGATTCTTCTGGAGTGAGAAACGATGCAGACGTGATTGACAGTGAAGGTATTTGTTTTGAAACTGTTTTAGTCGATCCATTTCACAGTGACATTTGTTTACTGTTTTATTTGTTTTATTTTTGTCTTTTAATGTTGTTTTATGTCTGTATTTGTCTGTGCACACTGGAGACTTTTTGCTAATGTATTCCAATGTGTTTTTTTTTTACTGCAAATGGCAAATAAACTGAATCTATTTTTAAGAGTGAAAGTACGAAGTGGAGGTTTGGAAACATGCTCGAAAGAAAAGGTGGTTCAAGAACAACATGGATAGATCGGTCTACGTTTATCTTCGTCATAAGTATTGGCTTTACTTAAACACACCTCTTTTCACTTGTTTCCACCAAAACCACCAAAACTTTCATCTTTTCATAACTATTCAGTCATCTTTGAGTCGTCACTGCCTCTCGGCCTGGACACCCGGGATTAAAATATATCATGGTTTATCTCACTGTGTTTAATATATGTATTACTTAGAACACAGTAAAGAAGGGACAAAGAAGGTCCTGGGTTCGAATCCCGGCCGGACCAGGGCCTTTCTGAGTGGAGTTTGCATGTTCTCCCCGTGTCTGCGTAGGTTTCCTCCGGGTACTCCGGTTTCCCCTACCACTAAAAATATGTCCAATAGTTCTGGCATGTGCCTCCTGTACTGGCCCCTCCCATCTCTGTGTGGAGTGAGAGACTAATGCCCAAAAAAAAAACAACATAACAATTGTAAACCGCTTTGTGACTCTGGTCTGTGAAAGGCGGTATATAAATAAAGCTTACTACTACTACAAAGATGAAGATGTGAACTGATGAAAACAGCAAAAATCCCCCATCACTAAAAACCTCCCCCAGCATCGTTAAAACATGAAGAGGAAAGAGTCCTGCGTGACTATAAATGCAACACTGTGAAATTCTTTGTGAAACACAAACTAAAGTCTGATGTCTTTAAGAGATCGAACCCAGAACCATCTGTTTAAACCTTCTGTTCTCGACCTCCTCCACGTCAGATCCAAGTGTTTCTCCTCGAAGCTCCTATCTCCGTGTCTCATTGTGGTCCTGGTCTCATTGTGGTCCTGGTCTCATTGTGGTCCTGGTCTCATTGTGGTCCTGGTCTCATTGTAGTCCTCGTCTCACTGTGGTCCTGGTCTCATTGTGGTCCTGGTCTCATTGTAGTCCTCGTCTCATTGTGGTCCTGGTCTCATTGTGGTCCTGGTCTCATTGTGGTCCTGGTCTCATTGTGGTCCTGGTCTCATTGTAGTCCTCGTCTCATTGTGGTCCTGGTCTCATTGTGGTCCTCGTCTCATTGTGGTCCTGGTCTCATTGTGGTCCTGGTCTCATTGTGGTCCTGGTCTCATTGTGGTCCTGGTCTCATTGTGGTCCTGGTCTCATTGTAGTCCTCGTCTCATTGTGGTCCTGGTCTCATTGTGGTCCTGGTCTCATTGTGGTCCTGGTCTCATTGTGGTCCTGGTCTCATTGTAGTCCTCGTCTCATTGTGGTCCTGGTCTCATTGTGGTCCTCGTCTCATTGTGGTCCTGGTCTCATTGTGGTCCTGGTCTCATTGTGGTCCTGGTCTCATTGTGGTCCTGGTCTCATTGTGGTCCTGGTCTCATTGTAGTCCTCGTCTCATTGTGGTCCTGGTCTCATTGTGGTCCTGGTCTCATTGTGGTCCTGGTCTCATTGTGGTCCTGGTCTCATTGTAGTCCTCGTCTCATTGTGGTCCTGGTCTCATTGTGGTCCTGGTCTCAGTGTGGTCCTCGTCTCATTGTGGTCCTCGTCTCATTGTGGTCCTGGTCTCATTGTGGTCCTGGTCTCAGTATGGTCCTCGTCTCATTGTGGTCCTGGTCTTATTGTGGTCCTGGTCTCATTGTGGTCCTGGTCTCATTGTGGTCCTGGTCTCATTGTGGTCCTGGTCTCATTGTGGTCCTGGTCTCATTGTGGTCCTGGTCTCATTGTGGTCCTGGTCTCATTGTGGTCCTGGTCTCACTGTGGTCCTGGTCTCAGTCTGGTCCTGGTCTCATTGTGGTCCTGGTCTCATTGTGGTCCTGGTCTCATTGTGGTCCTGGTCTCACTGTGGTCCTGGTCTCAGTATGGTCCTGGTCTCATTGTGGTCCTGGTCTCATTGTGGTCCTGGTCTCACTGTGGTCCTGGTCTCAGTATGGTCCTGGTCTCATTGTGGTCCTGGTCTCACTGTGGTCCTGGTCTCATTGTGGTCCTGGTCTCATTGTGGTCCTGGTCTCATTGTGGTCCTGGTCTCATTGTGGTCCTGGTCTCATTGTGGTCCTGGTCTCACTGTGGTCCTGGTCTCAGTATGGTCCTGGTCTCATTGTGGTCCTGGTCTCATTGTGGTCCTGGTCTCATTGTGGTCCTGGTCTCATTGTGGTGGTTAGCATTAGCGATAGCTGACTGTTGTTTTGAAGTCCTTGAAAACAAGTGATTTGAGTTATATGGATTTCTTATGGTTTGAAAAAGGTGCCTCAGTTTTATTCTGCAAAGTAAAGTCTGTTTTGAACTTTCTTCGTGTGTGACTGTCTCTGTTCTTTACACGTCTACATTAGTTTTGGCAAATTGTTTTAATTTCATTTTAGATGTGTCGATTGGCTTGCATTGGGCTTGGATGTTCCAAGTAGATGTTGTTGTTGCAATACGTATTTATTATTACTAGGCATAAGATAAAAATGTATTTTAACTTCAACATGTACATAAAGATATTTTCTCTCTGCGTTTAAAGGCTACATGTCGTTTTTAAAGAATGTTATTGTTTTTTAATGGTAGGTTCCTAAAGCGTCCCAGACAGCGGTCGCCCCGTTTGGTCCTTTGTGTGCCAGTGTGGTTTGGGTGTGGTGCTCCAGGCTCATGCCATGGACTCCAGTGTGTTGGTATGTGGGGGAGACACGGGGCTGCAGTGCCCCCTACGGGCGGAGGCAGGTACATGTTTACCCTGAGGCTTATGGGAAAATGTGTGGGGTCTCCTGCAGAGACGGGGCAGATCATCAGGATGTATTGATTGTTTCAGAGCGATACCGTTAAAGCTCGGGTACCTAACTTTTATAAATTCATAAATAGTACATTTTGTGAGAAAATTAGACTGAAGCATGCGGCTTTATCAGGATCTGGATTGTTAATTGTTAATGATTGTTTTTGCTGAATGAAGAGCATAGACACAGTGTGTTCAGTTCTGCTAAGTTGTTTATTAGAACAGTTCAGTAATATAATATTTTGATGTATTTATTGGATCATTTCCTGATATGTCGCAGTCAAACAAAGCCGTCTTTCTTCTGTGTGCACTAAACTGTTTTATTCTGGGGGTTATCATTAACGACGGTAAGTGTTTCAGAGAAAGCCTAATCATATCAATCTCCTCCTCCTTAGTGAAATACTAACTGCTTTTGTTGTGTTTTCCGGACTCAGGAGGTGCCAGAGGAGCACTTTGTCCTGGAGCTGCTGGGGAGGTGCCTGGTCCCACTGGGCCTTTCCCATGAACCCCCGTCCCATGCTGCGTGGGCCGGCCCTGGCCCTCCTCTTGGCTGCTATTCCACTGCTTCAATGGCTCTGTGTGACTCCCCCAAAGCAGACACTCTGACCCCCCCGTACCTCTGACCCCCCCTGTACCTCTGACCCCCCCCCCCCAACCCCCCCCCCCCCTCGGTGAACGAGTGAGGGCGACGTGTGGAGCAGGCGTCAGGTGCACTGGAATCATGCTCACATCAAGTTTGGAAGGATATGAGAATAAGATTTAGATGAGTTTTTAAAGTCATGCCAAAAAATAATAATATAAAGTAAAAGGAGATACTTTATTATTGTCACATTTATTAAAACATTCATTTATGATGTTTTTCAGGTTCGCTACGAGCAGAATGGTTAATGGTTTTGTTCAGTCTCTGAGACGATGCTGCTGTGACCGAGGGCTTTACAAGAATAAACTGTAATGTATTATCTGTGTGTAATTACTTTGATCTTTATACGATAGTTTAACTTCCTGTGTGTCCTGTTTGCCCCACCCTGATGTGTTACACCTGTGTATTATGACCCTGTGCTCCTGTCCCTGTGCTCCTGTCCCTGTGCTCCTGTCCCTGTGCTCCTGTCCCTGTGCTCCTGTCCCTGTGCTCCACTCCCTGTGCTCCTGTCCCTGTGCTCCTGTCCCTGTCCCTGTGCCCCTGTGCTCCTGTCCCTGTGCTCCTGTCCCTGTGCTCCACTCCCTGTGCTCCTGTCCCTGTGCTCCTGTCCCTGTCCCTGTGCCCCTGTCCCTGTGCTCCTGTCCCTGTGCTCCTGTCCCTGTGCTCCAGTCCCTGTGCTCCTGTCCCTGTGATCCTGTCCCTGTGCTCCTGTCCCTGTGCTCCTGTCCCTGTGCTCCTGTCCCTGTGCTCCAGTTCCTGTGCTCCTGTCCCTGTGCTCCTGTCCCTGTGCTCCTGTCCCTGTGCTCCTGTCCCTGTGCCCCTGTGCTCCTGTCCCTGTGCTCCTGTCCTTGTGCTCCTGTCCCTGTGCTCCTGTCCCTGTGCTCCTGTCCCTGTGCTCCAGTCCCTGTGCTCCAGTCCCTGTGCTCCTGTCCCTGTGCTCCTGTCCCTGTGCCCCTGTGCTCCTGTCCCTGTGCTCCAGTCCCTGTGCTCCTGTCCCTGTGCTCCTGTCCCTGTGCTCCTGTCCCTGTGCTCCAGTCCCTGTGCCCCTGTGCTCCTGTCCCTGTGCTCCAGTCCCTGTGCTCCTGTCCCTGCGCTCCTGTCCCTGTGCTCCTGTCCCTGCGCTCCTGTCCCTGTGCTCCTGTCCCTGTGTTCCTGTCCCTGTGTTCCTGTCCCTGTGCTCCTGTCCCTGTGCTCCTGTCCCTGTGCTCCTGTCCCTGTGCTCCTGTCCCTGTGCTCCTGTCCCTGTGCTCCTGTCCCTGTGCTCCTGTCCCTGTGCTCCAGTCCCTGTGCTCCTGTCCCTGTGCTCCAGTCCCTGTGCTCCTGTCCCTGTGCTCCTGTCCCTGTGCTCCAGTCCCTGTGCTCCTGTCCCTGTGCTCCAGTCCCTGTGCTCCTGTCCCTGTGCTCCAGTCCCTGTGCTCCTGTCCCTGTGCTCCTGTCCCTGTGCTCCTGTCCCTGTGCCCCTGTGCTCCTGTCCCTGTGCTCCTGTCCCTGTGCCCCTGTGCTCCTGTCCCTGTGCTCCTGTCCCTGTGCTCCAGTCCCTGTGCTCCAGTCCCTGTGCTCCTGTCCCTGTGCTCCTGTCCCTGTGCTCCAGTCCCTGTGCTCCTGTCCCTGTGCTCCTGTCCCTGTGCTCCTGTCCCTGTGCTCCAGTCCCTGTGCTCCTGTCCCTGTGCTCCAGTCCCTGTGCTCCTGTCCCTGTGCTCCTGTCCCTGTGCTCCAGTCCCTGTGCTCCTGTCCCTGTGCTCCAGTCCCTGTGCTCCTGTCCCTGTGCTCCTGTCCCTGTGCTCCTGTCCCTGTGCCCCTGTGCTCCTGTCCCTGTGCTCCTGTGCTCCAGTCCCTGTGCTCCTGTCCCTGTGCTCCAGTCCCTGTGCCCCTGTCCCTGTGCTCCAGTCCCTGTGCTCCTGTCCCTGTGCTCCTGTCCCTGTGCTCCAGTCCCTGTGCTCCAGTCCCTGTGCTCCAGTCCCTGTGCTCCTGTCCCTGTGCCCCTGTCCCTGTGCTCCTGTCCCTGTGCTCCTGTCCCTGTGCCCCTGTGCTCCAGTCCCTGTGCTCCTGTCCCTGTGCTCCTGTCCCTGTGCTCCTGTCCCTGTGCTCCTGTCCCTGTGCTCCAGTCCCTGTGCTCCTGTCCCTGTGCTCCAGTCCCTGTGCTCCTGTCCCTGTGCTCCAGTCCCTGTGCTCCTGTCCCTGTGCCCCTGTCCCTGTGCTCCTGTCCCTGTGCCCCTGTCCCTGTGCTCCTGTCCCTGTGCTCCAGTCCCTGTGCTCCTGTCCCTGTGCTCCTGTCCCTGTGCTCCTGTCCCTGTGCTCCTGTCCCTGTGCTCCAGTCCCTGTGCTCCTGTCCCTGTGCTCCAGTCCCTGTGCTCCTGTCCCTGTGCCCCTGTCCCTGTGCTCCTGTCCCTGTGCCCCTGTCCCTGTGCTCCTGTCCCTGTGCCCCTGTCCCTGTGCTCCTGTCCCTGTGCCCCTGTCCCTGTGCTCCTGTCCCTGTGCTCCTGTCCCTGTGCTCCTGTCCCTGTGCTCCTGTCCCTGTGCTCCAGTCCCTGTGCTCCTGTCCCTGTGCTCCAGTCCCTGTGCCCCTGTCCCTGTGCTCCTGTCCCTGTGCCCCAGTCCCTGTGCTCCTGTCCCTGTGCTCTTGTCCCTGTGCTCCTGTCCTCTTCGGTCCATTGCTGTTTTTATCCTCATGTCTTGTCCCTAGGTTCAGGTTGTACCTTTGGCTCCGCTTTTGGCTCCTTCCTTGTTTTTATCCTGTGACACATTCATGTTTTATTTGTTGAAAACAATATTCCTGCTGGAAGCCCAGTGTGAATGAAAGTGTTGTTCATCTTTAAATAAAACACTTGGTACAGTGTGCCCCGTTCCCACCACTGACCCTCAGAGCACAAACTCATATATGGCCATTTTACTCATGATATTTACCACAGATTCGAGGGCCCCTACCGTGGATCTTTGTTTCTAAATAACTCTTTGAGCATAGATCAGAGTGTCCCGCTGTGGAACCGTCCCATAAACACAGGCTCTCTGCTGTAGACAATGGTGCTGTGTTTATGCAAAAGGATTTATGATGGAGCCTGAGTTTACACAGCGGAGAGTTCCCAAGGACACGATCCGAGTCTGGGAGGACAGGATCCAGACCGGACCGGACGGGAGCTGCCCTGATACGGGCCGGACGCAGGACAGGGGCATCGGTGCAAAACAGGAGAGAGTGCGGAAGGAGACATTTGTGTGTTTTATTATGAAAGTGCAACATGTCGCTACAATCCAATGCCAAACCCTGGAGTGGACCCGGTCAGTCCTGGTTCAGATTTAATAAAACACTTTAAAACTAAAGGCGAAGGTTGATCTTCATGTTGTGGTGTGTTTCCGCCGTTACAAAGATCACTCTGTGAGAGAGACGTGTGAGGATGATGGACTGGTACACATCAGGCATGCTCTGTGGTTTCCATGGTTACCACCGCCTCCCCTTACTCCTGCATAAGTGTGGTTATAGATTGACCTATAAATCAGACTATTTATAATCTGTGGGGATCATGTGTTTGTGTATCGTTAACATACCGCTCATAATGTTTGTGTGGGATCCAGTTACTGCGTCTCTCCTCAGCCTGAAGAGGGAACGGAAAACACCTCAGATTGTGAAACGGACACCACGAAATGTGCCATATAAATAAAGATGACTTACTTAATTCTAAATACAACACTTAAGTTGGTTGAGTAGAACTATAGAACATTCAAATAACTTTCCTTTTCAGTAGTTTGTCAGGTTTTTTATTTTTATGAGACCTTCAAACGAGTTATTCCTGATTTACACAATGCACATCTGTCTTATGTTCTTATGTCCAGCCTCACTAAGCCTGACCACATTTTAGGGACCCCCTGAAAGTATTATTCGGAAAGTTTTTAATGGGAGAAAATGTTCAGAATTCCTGGTGAGATGTAAAGACTGGGAAAACATCTCTCTCAGCGCGGATAAATATTTGGATTAATCCTGGTTTTGTGATGCAAAGTGGGTCCTTAGTGGCACCTTGAGCCCTGGGATGAGTTAAGTAAGGCCCAGCAGCTTAAAGAGATCAATTGGACAGTCCCCCCCCCCCCCCCGTACCCTTTCACAGAGCAACAGCAGTGGGCGAGCTGCAGGAACAATCATGTGTGAAATAGACTCTTCATCCGGACGCTATCCACGGTCCGGGACAGAGACTTAATCCTCCTCGGATCGTCAGAAATTAGGGGAATCTAAGGATAGGGTTTTCTTTGGGGGACAGGGGCTGTGGTGAGGGGCTGTGGCTGCGGCACTGGGCGGAGCCGTGGAGGTGGGCGGAGCCGTGACTGCTGCAGTGGGCGGAGCCGTGGTGGTGGGCGTGGCTGTGCAGCTATGGTGAACACATGTGCTGGTGATGATTTTAAAAGCATTGCTCCAGTGAACAACCATACGTTTCCCTGCAGCTCGCCCTGCAGCTCGGCATGCAGCTCGCCCTGCAGCTCGGCGTGCAGCTCGGCGTGCAGCTCGGCGTGCAGCTCGGCGTGCAGCTCGGCGTGCAGCTCGGCGTGCAGCTCGGCGTGCAGCTCGGCGTGCAGCTCGGCGTGCAGCTCGTGGGCGACTCTTAGGGCTAGTGTAAGACAATGATCACTTTTGAAATGGGCAAAACACAACAGGAGCCACAATCGGCACAATAAGACGATAACATTCCAAGAGCTGGATTCAAACCAACAACCTCTGGATCAGGGGATGGACTCTGGCCCAGCCGCCACTCAAACAGGGTTTTTCCACAGCATCGCACGCAGTCTAAACATCTCACCTCTTGGCAAACTGCTCTATATTTACTATGTCCTTATTTCTACATACCATTCCACTGCACACACTCAGCCCGGTTCAGCCCGGATCAGCCTGGTTCAGTCTGGTGTGGAGGTGCTGACATCCCAGAGGTCAGAGATGTAGGACCTCCTTCAGCACACAGTCCTCACACAGAGCAGTGGGAGGTCCTGGTCTCACCGAAGCCGACCTGGACCACACGTCTCATGAGGTCGGAGCAGCCGGAGTCGGCCGGGGAATATATCCACAGAAACAACGACCCAAAGGAACCATATGTGAACTTTTATGTGTCCCGAGAGAATAGGCCAATCATGTATCAATCATGTTTCACCCTTTTCTGACCAAATTCATTAGAAATACATTGGGTCATAATTATTATTAAAATTTTCAAGTGGATTATCCGAGTTTGTTAGGAGACAAATGGCTGCTGTTGGTTCTATATATTTTTTACATACCATAATTCACAAACAAGAAAAAAGCACCGCAAATTGCGTACACAGTGTTTGGAGCATTCCTAGTTAACCCAGCAGGTGGATTGCATCAGTAATCAGTGCTTAGCTAAATGTGTGATGGACAGTTGACTTTATTTTTTCACTAAGAGCACATATCACATAGAGTCCCTTTAAGTTCTTCATTTTGATGATACATAACGTTATGCAGTGGAACCTGGCAGAGGTATGCTCTCTACGAGTACGTTTGCGTTTCCAACATTATTTGTATTGTTTGCACCTGATGTCACCTTTTCATTCAGGACACACTCTGCCTCTGCACATGCCTCTGTCTGTGGACACGTGGACTCCATTCACCAGCTCCAAATGGTGCGGTATGCACTCTCCGAGCTCATGTCTTGGCCACATTGGTCACAGCTTTCTTGTACAGTTTGTAAGAATCTTTTGAGGAGATTATTTTCACAGTCATTGTGCTTCCTCATTATTAATATTCTTCCGTTTGTGTTTATCTCCTGCACCAGACTCTTCCTGATGACTTTCCACACTCTGGGTTCCAGTCCCTTTTTCTTCACAACTCGTAATTTCAGTTTTCTCCCAATTAATTCCCGTCTATTTGAGCAGAAGTCTGGCATTTACCATCGGGGCGTGATCTGCTGTTAATGGTCCCACCAGCAAGAAAAGGACAATCCCACAGAGACATAATTGAATTTTTATCTGTTCTACTCCATAATGAATCCCTGAACATTAGGAGGAGGAGGAGGAGGAGGAGGAAGGAGCAGTCGGGAGGAGGAAGGACCAGGAATCAGTGAGGAGGAGGAAGAAGGAGGCGGGATAATGACAGTTTGACACAGACTGTCGCCTCACACTGACACAGACTGTCGCCTCACACTGACACAGACTGTCGCCTCACACTGACACAGACTGTCGCCTCACACTGACACAGACTGTCGCCTCACACTGACACAGACTGTCGCCTCACACTGACACAGACTGTCGCCTCACACTGACACAGACTGTCGCCTCACACAGACACAGACTGTCGCCTCACACTGACACAGACTGTCGCCTCACACAGACACAGACTGTCGCCTCACACTGACACTGACAGTCGCCTCACACTGACACAGACTGTCGCCTCACACTGACACAGACAGTCGCCTCACACAGACACAGACTGTCGCCTCACACTGACACAGACTGTCGCCTCACACTGACACAGACTGTCGCCTCACACTGACACAGACTGTCGCCTCACACTGACACAGACTGTCGCCTCACACAGACACAGACTGTCGCCTCACACTGACACAGACAGTCGCCTCACACTGACACAGACAGTCGCCTCACACAGACACAGACTGTCGCCTCACACTGACACAGACAGTCGCCTCACACTGACACAGACTGTCGCCTCACACTGACACAGACTGTCGCCTCACACTGACACAGACTGTCGCCTCACACTGACACAGACTGTCGCCTCACACAGACACAGACTGTCGCCTCACACTGACACAGACTGTCGCCTCACACTGACACAGACTGTCGCCTCACACTGACACAGACTGTCGCCTCACACTGACACAGACTGTCGCCTCACACTGACACTGACTGTCGCCTCACACTGACACTGACTGTCGCCTCACACTGACACAGACTGTCGCCTCACACAGACACAGACTGTCGCCTCACACAGACACAGACTGTCGCCTCACACTGACACAGACTGTCGCCTCACACTGACACAGACTGTCGCCTCACACTGACACAGACAGTCGCCTCACACTGACACAGACTGTCGCCTCACACTGACACAGACTGTCGCCTCACACAGACACAGACTGTCGCCTCACACAGACACAGACTGTCGCCTCACACTGACACAGACTGTCGCCTCACACAGACACAGACTGTCGCCTCACACAGACACAGACTGTCGCCTCACACTGACACAGACTGTCGCCTCACACTGACACAGACTGTCGCCTCACACTGACACAGACTGTCGCCTCACACAGACACAGACTGTCGCCTCACACTGACACAGACTGTCGCCTCACACTGACACAGACTGTCGCCTCACACTGACACAGACTGTCGCCTCACACTGACACAGACTGTCGCCTCACACTGACACTGACTGTCGCCTCACACTGACACTGACTGTCGCCTCACACTGACACAGACTGTCGCCTCACACAGACACAGACTGTCGCCTCACACAGACACAGACTGTCGCCTCACACTGACACAGACAGTCGCCTCACACTGACACAGACTGTCGCCTCACACTGACACAGACAGTCGCCTCACACTGACACAGACTGTCGCCTCACACTGACACAGACTGTCGCCTCACACTGACACAGACTGTCGCCTCACACTGACACAGACTGTCGCCTCACACTGACACAGACTGTCGCCTCACACTGACACAGACTGTCGCCTCACACTGACACAGACTGTCGCCTCACACTGACACAGACAGTCGCCTCACACTGACACAGACTGTCGCCTCACACTGACACTGACTGTCGCCTCACACTGACACAGACTGTCGCCTCACACTGACACAGACTGTCGCCTCACACTGACACAGACTGTCGCCTCACACTGACACAGACTGTCGCCTCACACTGACACAGACTGTCGCCTCACACTGACACAGACTGTCGCCTCACACTGACACAGACTGTCGCCTCACACTGACACAGACTGTCGCCTCACACTGACACAGACTGTCGCCTCACACTGACACAGACTGTCGCCTCACACTGACACAGACTGTCGCCTCACACTGACACTGACTGTCGCCTCACACTGACACTGACTGTCGCCTCACACTGACACAGACTGTCGCCTCACACAGACACAGACTGTCGCCTCACACAGACACAGACTGTCGCCTCACACTGACACAGACAGTCGCCTCACACTGACACAGACTGTCGCCTCACACTGACACAGACAGTCGCCTCACACTGACACAGACTGTCGCCTCACACTGACACAGACTGTCGCCTCACACTGACACAGACTGTCGCCTCACACTGACACAGACTGTCGCCTCACACTGACACAGACTGTCGCCTCACACTGACACAGACTGTCGCCTCACACTGACACAGACTGTCGCCTCACACTGACACAGACAGTCGCCTCACACTGACACAGACTGTCGCCTCACACTGACACTGACTGTCGCCTCACACTGACACAGACTGTCGCCTCACACTGACACAGACTGTCGCCTCACACTGACACAGACTGTCGCCTCACACTGACACAGACTGTCGCCTCACACTGACACAGACTGTCGCCTCACACTGACACAGACTGTCGCCTCACACTGACACAGACTGTCGCCTCACACTGACACAGACTGTCGCCTCACACTGACACAGACTGTCGCCTCACACTGACTGTCAGTTGCAGTGTCTGTAAAGTGCTTTGGGGACATAGTCACGGCCACAGACCAAACCTGAGCTCAGACTATTATCAGAAAACAGACAATGGAAAATCTATTTCTCTGTGAGAGATGGGTCGATTCTGTCTGTGAGAAGGAAAAATAATAATCCACACATAATAATAACAATTATACAACACAATATATTCACTTTCTCCTCCTGAAGAGGAGTTCTCCTGAAGAAGAGTTCTCCTCCTGAAGAAGAGTTCTCCTCCTGAAGAAGAGTTCTATTCCTCCTGCAGCTCACGGATGTGACAAGAATGAACAATGGTAAAGTAAATAATGATAGATATGAATGGTTAAACGCTGGCGTCGCTGCCACACACATCAGAATCAGAATCATTTTTATTGCCACGTAAGTAACAGGAAGTCACAGATTTGGAAATTGCTTTGGCTCAGTGCAACAGTCAAAAAGAGATAATAAAAATAAGAATAAAAAACACTTCTAAAGAATAAATGTAAATTTAAAATAGAGTTACAGTTACTATTTACAATATACAAGTGCACATGGTGCACACAATGTAAGGTGACAGCAGTACAGTGAAGTAAAGTGACGTATGATGGGCAGTAAAGTGACTTTATAAAGGGCGGGGGGACAGGTTAAGAAGTGTTCAAGAGTCCAACAGCAGAGGGGAAGAAACTGTTCTTGTGGCGGAGGTTCTAGTCCTGATGGACCGCAGCCTCCTGCCTGAGGGGAGTGGATGGAATAGTCCATGTGCAGGTGAGAGGGGAGTGGTTGGAATAGTCCATGTGCAGGTGAGAGGGGAGTGGTTGGAATAGTCCATGTGCAGGTGAGAGGGGAGTGGTTGGAATAGTCCATGTGCAGGTGAGAGGGGAGTGGTTGGAATAGTCCATGTGCAGGTGAGAGGGGGAGTGGTTGGAATAGTCCATGTGCAGGTGAGAGGGGAGTGGTTGGAATAGTCCATGTGCAGGTGAGAGGGGAGTGGTTGGAATAGTCCATGTGCAGGTGAGAGGGGAGTGGTTGGAATAGTCCATGTGCAGGTGAGAGGGGAGTGGTTGGAATAGTCCATGTGCAGGTGAGAGGGGAGTGGTTG